CATCTCGCTTTATTGGCCGAGGGAGCCAGCATACAGCTTCCAGGTCATGTGGCCAGCATGACTAAGCCGCTTCTGGCGAACCAGAGCAGTGCACGGAAAGGCCGTTTACCTTCCCGCCAGAGCGGTACCTATTTATCTACTTGCACTTCATGCTTTCAAACTGCTAGGTTGGCAGGGACAGAGCAACGGGGATTCGAACCGGCAACCTTCTGATCGGCAAGTCCTAAGCTCTGTGGTTTAACCCACAGTGCCACACGCGTCCCTCTTTAACCCTTTACTCTGTGTCTTATTTTTATATATCAACATGGGAATTAGCGTTCTTCATTGTATCATGGGGAATAAGAATAATAGTGACTCCAAGCCAGTATGGCTATGTTCTTCAACCACAGCCAGTGGAAGTACAGTTCACGGAGGTGTCAATACTACCTGCTTTTTTGAGTAAGCTGCCCATCCTGCCAGGCAGCTGGACACTCACCCAGGCTGACATTCCTTTTGCTTAAATCACTGCACATCTGGAACCTGCCTGCATCAACCCTCAAAAATCACAACACTCTGGAAGTTTCCAGGTGGTTACAGAGGAGACTGTGTCTGTGACACAGTTCTGACTTTCAATTTTTTAAAACAACAACCACTTTCCCCCCTTTCGGGAGGCTTACTGAAAAGGTCATGTAGTCCTGGGTTTTGTGTTGTAATGCCGCCATGGCAATTCGCATAGGCAAACTTGGATAGAATATAGAGTTGAGCCCAAGGTATCCTGGCTGTTCATGTGTCTGCTTCCTTTTTTATTGGCTCCATCACATTGCACATGTCTAAAAAACATTTAACATGAGTTGATGAATTTATCTGTATATGTTTATGTGTACAGTGAGATCAAATTCACTCATTACTACTATAGACTTTCAGCTGATAGTACATTCTTAAAATTTGGATCCCTGTCTGAGAGGGAGAGAGAGAGAGAGAGAATGGTATATATTAATACATGTTCTTTGATCTGCCTTGCAGCTTTGCCTCTCAACCTGCCTTTCATAATATTAACCTAGTGCCCAGGAGGACTCAGCCATCTCTTGTTCATTCATATTCCTTTTGGAGTGTTCACATTAAACTGTCTCCATCTAGTGGTCCGATTTCCATGGGAAGTCTGGCGTGAGATGAACAATCTCCATCAGAATAGCCATCCTGCACTGTACAGATACTGGCTAAGATCCCAAAATCAGACCAGGGCAAGGGCAGAGGACATACTGGAGAAATCCTGTAGAATTCCTCTAGATCTAGAGAGCCTGGGAGTAGCTGAGGGCAGCTGAAAGATGAATGTGGTGTGTGGATCTGGCCAGTGTGAGAGGCCATTTGATGCATGTACTTCAAAGGTGAAGGTTACTTTGCAGTAGCAAGAACATGCAGCAACAAAAATGGGACATCCCAGTTTGTGTGCAGCAGATGGTTGGGTCTGCTTTTTCCTCGGAGCTGCTTCAGTGTAAATCAGAGATACCCAACATGGTGCCCCCAGAGGTTATTGGACTACAGATCCCATTGTCCCCAGCCAGCTTGGCCAATGGCTGAGCATTTGCATACAACAACCTTTGGAGGGCACCATGCTGGATACCCCTGGGGCATATAGTTATTTTGCTCTGGAACAGCAGAAGGACAAGGAAGAATGGAGAACCTCAAACAAAAGCAGCCATTTTCTGGAGCTGCTTCTAAATTCTGGTTGGTTGGTTGGCTGAGCTATATTAGTTGAGAATACAGGAAATCCTCTTGGTTCAAAAGAAACACAGTGGGGAAGACCTCACGTAGGACCTCAGAAAAGTGCCCTAGAGCCCAGATGCTCTGTCAAGAGGCCTAGCAGTAATGTCCCATCTTGCAGCTCAGATTTCAGTCTGTAATGGTCAAATGTTAAAAAAAAGACTCAAGTTGAAACTTGACAAAATCCAGTAGCATGTTTATTTTACAGTGAAATGGGGGGGGGGCATTATGTGACACTTGTTCTTGGAATGAGTTTGAGCAAAAACCACTTCCATCCCAGTCCATGAATGATGAGATTCATGTTTTCCCGCTTTGATTGAGACTTCTACACACTAAAGCTTGGACAACCAACGTGTTCAGCTCTAGAGGTTGTGGGAGTGCAATTCCCACAATCCCAACCTATTGGGCATACTAGCTAGGGTTGTTGGGAGATGAAGTTCAACAAAAAGTGGGTATCTTGGCTGCCCATGTATTAAAGGATAATGTGTTCACTTGGTGGAGCCTATCATCCAGAACCAAGCATTTCCCCTTATTAAATGATGACTGTTCTTGATTATTGGGGTTGAGGGATCCCTGGAATATACACTTAAAGGGATTTCTGGTTTTAATAATTTGTCTTTCTGAGACACTGGGTAGCCACTGTCCGTCAGAGTAGAGAATTCTGTATGATGGACCAATGGCTTGATCCAATGCAACACAACTTCATGTGAGCCGAATTGCTCTGCATCAGCTAGCGTTGTTGCCAACCCTGGACCATCAATTTCAAGGAACTCTTTCCCAACCCCATGAAAGAGACAGTCATTTCCCTGCCTGTCTCAGGGGAAGAATTATGAAGCAATCAATAAGTGTTCTTCCTTGTAATTAACAAACATTACAGGGTCCCATTGTCTGGCACTCTGCAGGCAGACCCTTTGGATGCCACACTCCCTGGAATGCTCTTGGGAGGGGGTTATCTCACAGAATCTTCCCACGAGCATTTCAAAAAGTGCACCAACAGAGGGAGATGTGGTGCACCAAAGAGCAATGTGAAGATTAAAAAAAAAAAGTTGCAAGGAAAAGCATCCCTTGGCTGCCTCATTACATGAATCATAGAATTGTAGAGTTGGAAGGGGCCAAGAGGACCATGTATTCCAACCCCCTGCAATGCAAGAATATGCAGCTATCCCATATGGGGATCAAACCTGCAACCTTGGCGTTAACAGCACCAAGCTCTAACCAACTGAGTTAGCCAGGTTAGTACCAACCCCCAACAATTTCAGTGACATTTCCCTCTCTTCTTATGCATCTACAGCACTGTGGGAACCACTTCCTCATGGTCCAAGTATGTATGTGAACACTGGGTTGACAAGAATGGATCCAGTCGCGTGCATCTTTCCCATCTGATAATCAACCTTTCTCATGAATCGGCATGGTTTAGTTGGGAATGATCCATGGGATTCTCTTCCCCCATCTATGTATTCTTGTGAGGCCTAGCTTATGGTAGGATTAGAAGGAAGCAGATCCAAGGAGAGGTTTGAAGATGATGGTAGGAGTAATCACTAAGCAGGTAAAGGCTAAGTGTATAGTTGAAGATGGGGAACTACAGTCTGGAGAAAAGGAGGCCGTCAGATGTTCCAGCACCCTCAACAGATATGCTATTGCAGGCAAGTTGTTCAGCAAGCTCCTGGGTTAAATTGAGCAGCATACATTGCTTTTGCCTGACTCCCAGGTTCCGCCTTAAAGAAACCGAAATTTAGAATTCTGAGACATCTCTTGTTGGCTTCTTGTTTTAAGAGTCGGGATCATACTATAGTCACTGTGATTGTCTGCAGTAAGGTGGGACGTATTTGTGGGGCATGGAGATAGGGCCTAATCTAGGCTCTTCCCTCAACAGGTGATTTGTCTCTATCAAAGGTGGCGGTGCCCTCTGTTTGGGGGCAGGGCATCGATGCACAGGCAGACTTCTGTGATGGGCACTGGGGAAAGGAAAAAGTTCAGTGGCAAAAACATCTAAGGCAATAAACCATCAGCTGGAAAACAGAAGACTTACAAAGACAAGTAAGCATGGATATACATTATATTGCTGGTTACCTCTTCAGTGTTTCCTGCAAAAACTTACCTGCTGGTAATCTTCCCTGTTGCATAGAACACCTTTGCTCATAAAAAGCACTTGGGAAGTATAAAATGCCTACAGGGACAGTCAAGGCTGCCAAATTATATAAAATGAGCCTGAGATTCCTTCCTTAATAGGCATACTGAGGAAGTGTTGTTCCACTGGTCTTCATCATCCTCTGGTCTCCATTGGAGACTAATGGAATACCTTTGATTGAAGAAATAGTGTTCATATGTAACGGCAGCCTTCTCTTAAATTAAAAGGGGCTACGGTGCCACTGTTGTAATTCAGTCATTCAATACAGTGAGAGTGAAGAGTGAATTATTCTACCCACATGGAGGGGAGCGGTTTTCTGATTACCTGCTAGGTGAAATGCTTGTGGAGCATCATGAGTTGTGATGCTGCTGAGCAACCTCTTGTGGAGGGTTAAAATGCAAACTCCCTCCTCTGAAAAAAGATGCAGCCTCTTTCAGCTCAACTCCTGAACCTTTGAGTCAGAGGCTGACTAAATGTTTATTTATTCCTTATTTAGTTGGGGGGCGGGATTGTTGACCGGCCTGTCAACAAAGTTCTCTGGGCAGTTCACGCAGAGGTCAGAAACAATGCAAATACTAAAACGTTTTAAAAATCTGTTTCAGTTCCCTGCATACAAAGAAGTGCAAGCAATATGGCAGCTTTTGAATCCTGTAGGCATGGCCTGTTCCAAGGGAGAATCAAAAGGGCTTCATCTGGTGTCAAAAAGGTCTTGAAGTAGGTGCCTGGCAAACCTCATGGTGAGGTTTTTCCATAATCTGTGTGCCACCACAGAAAAGACCCTGTCTTGAGCAGCCACCGGCCTCACGTCTTCATGCAGGGGAACCTTGAGAAGGGTTTCCCATGAAGATCCCAAGGTCTGAGCAGTTGTAGATGGCAGGGGACAATCCTTCAAGTAACCTGATTCCAAGCGATGTAGAGGTTTAAACGTTTGCCCATTGCCCTTGCCCATTGACAGCTAGTCATTTCCCCCCTTTGCCAGCAAACCTTTGCTATCTTTGCAAAGGGATGCATACACAATATATGTATGTATCATAGCAATCATCAAAGAAGAGGCATTTCCTCCTATGTGATTGCACAAGGAAGGGATGCTTCTTCTTAAATGGGGCTTGCAGTTTGCTTACTGACTAAAGACATACATATGATGTGTGTGTGTGTGTGTGTGTGTGTGTGTACACACACACACACACACACACACACACACAGAGTGGAACTGCGGTTCTCGAACTGCTCCGTTCCCGAACATTTTGGCTCCCGAACGTTGAAAACCCGGAAGTAAGTGTTCCGGTTTTTGAACGTTCCTCAGAACCCGAACGTCCAATGCTGCTTCTGATCTGCAAAAAGCCTAGCTGTCAGCCAATTGGAAGCCGTGCCTCGGAATTTGAACATTTCCGAAGTCACATGTCTTTCTGGAACGGATTATGTTCAACTTCCGAGGTTCCACTGTATTTCCTTCTACATTTGTCATTGCATATTTGCAAAATTCAAATATAGCATGTGGAATTAAAGGCACAAATCCTTTGGGGTTTCAGGAGGAATTACAGTTTGAGATTTTTTTAAGAGCATACAAGGGGGGGGGGACCCTCACAAAAATCCCCAGCTTTCCTTGTTACTGGCTGTGTTGCTATTCCATAAAGCAATCCATACAGTTCATGCGAATTATCAGGACTTCGACTGTAATATATTATGTGGGGTGCAATATATAACGTGGAATTATGTTCCCTATTACCATGCAACAGACATCCCCTTTGTGAGCAAGGGGACCTCAAACACAATGTGGCATATGCCGCCTGCACGATAAAAGATGTATCCCGATGGCTTGGAAGTGTTATAATTCCAGCAGCTGAGAAATGTGACTTAATCGTCGGATTTAGAGGTTGCAGAGATGAATGGGCAAGAGACCGGAGGGATATTTAAGTGGGGAAAGGTCAGGTGCAAGTTAAAAAGTAGACTATTAAAACATGGATATGAGCAGAAGATATAATTGCTTGCCTGCATGTCCCCTTGGACATCAAATGAAATGGCATATGAGGCATGGAGTCCATAGAAAGGAGGTCAGAAGAACAGAGGGACTTCTACTTCCATGAGGTCAGATAAGCACATGTTCTCCAGTACCAGGCTGGTATATGGTGTGTGTGTTGGCCGATGGTAGCTCACATTGTGCTAATCTTATGGAAGTGTGAATCATCCATAGTCCTCTAGTAATGTATGGAATGCATAACTATGTAAAAGAAGCAAAGTCAAGCTAATTGATAACAGGTTGTAGAGTCTGAAAGGACTGTTGAATATGAAGCACTAAATTGACTTAATGGGGTCTGAAGAAAGATCCTGGGTGAATGTGGCCAGTGAGTAGATGATACCTGCCTGTTCAGTGTTGGAGACAGGGAGAAAGCTTTGGGCTAGGAGCAGAGCCAAAGTGGAACCTGGTGTTCAGTGGTGGGTCAGAATACACCAATATAGGTTAATTAGATGGAAGAGCAGACTTATTGATTGGGCCGGTCAGGCATCAGCAGGTCAGCACCTCTTTCACAGGCTCTAGGCATCAAAAAACAAGCAGCAGTAGTAGACAATCAGCAAAAAACCCCACCAAAAAACCAGGGTCAATTATGAGGGTCACCCAGGAATGCATTGGATGACTATTATGGAACATTCATACCGTTGGACAGTTAGAAACATTTATTATACAGGATAAATTTGAGGTTTGATTATTTGGACAAATTGCACTAATGTGCCTAATTGCAGAGGATTGTATCCAATGGAGTCGTACTCAGACTAGATCCACTGGAAGCTATGGCCATGTTAAAAGCCCATTCATTTCAGTAGGTCTGTGTGTGACTTTGTAGGATACATTCTTCACTGTTCGTATCTCAAACCATATCTTACCCTGAAATACACATCTGTCTATTATTATTTTTCACTTTAGTACTTTTTAAAGCTGAGAACTGTCTCATAAAATCCAGAGATGGGAGAAATATGAAGGATAATTCATGCTCCATGTTTTAATCTGGAATCTGCGAATCAGGTGTGTTCACTTAAAAAAAAGTGGACAAAACAAAATTCTCCACCATCCTTTTCTGAGAGTCACCTGCAGTCTGAAACCTTGCAGGTTCAGGGAGGAACAGGTTCGCCTCCTTATCTGCTGCCTGTGAGAGCACAACAATACCCTTTGAAACTTCCCCCCCCTTTTTGCCAAATGGATGATGCTGTTGGAGGCATCCATCATCCCCCAAGCAGATGGGCTCACCTGCCAGAGAGGCCATTTAGTGGTAATTATTTATATTTCCAATTTGTGCTGTCTTGCTGATGTCCCCGGCATGGGGCATCTTGGGATATGCAAGCCATTGTCTCTTTGGGAGTAGGCGGTGGCACTAACTGCAAATGAATCACACTCAAATATTGGGTGCATTGCAGGTACAATGGTGTGTTGGGGGGGGGGGAGTTGCGGCACACCAAAAATGAATAAATAATTACTGAGGGACAAGGGGGTGGAGGGAGAGGGACCAACAACAAAGGGACCTACCTCTTTCCATGGGTAGAATTGGATGATTATGCTGACGGTGCAAAAAATAAAATGAAATAAGTAATTTGAAGGGAAGCAGGAAGCAGGAGAGGAGAGGAACAGGAAAAGCTGCAATTAACTAAGAGAATAAATAGCATGACTATTATTAGCACAAGTGGAAAATGATTTAGTGGAGAGGGGGAAGCCAATACGTGTGTGTGTGTGTGTGTGTGTGTGTGTGTACACATGCATATATAGAATAGCTTATCAAGTCATCACTGCAGGCACAGCTCGAAGAGTTCTGATGATCAAAGCCAGCCAACAAAGCACAATGGAAATCCGCCCCAAAATATTGTTTAATCTCATCTCCTCCTTCTACCTTCCTCTTGACAGGACACTTCTTTTGTTCCAGTTCCTGGAATTTCCATAGTTAGATCATTAAGATGGATCATTAATATACATTAAGAGGGAGAGCAGGGCACAGGTATGCCCAAGAAACCCAACATGGTATTAGTGGCTGCAGGGTTGGACTGGGAAGTTCCCAGTTCAGCTGTGAAGCTCTTGGGCCAGTCACTGTCGCTTGGTGTCCCCTACTGCGCAGGGTAAAATGAGGAAGGGGGGAGAATCATGCACACCTGCTTAGAGGAAAGGTGGGATATGAATGTAATAATAATACCAATAATAAAGCTTAGCAGAATCTCTGAATATCTACTGTACCTGCCCATTCTGCATTCTGTCCATTGTGCATGGCTGAAGATTATCCAGTGAGCACTCTGGCTGAGTGGGGAGTTGGGACCCAGTTCAAGGCCAGCTCTCTAACTTCTTCTTCTTCTTCTTCTTCTTCTTCTTCTTCTTCTTCTTCTTCTTCTTCTTCTTCTTCTTCTTCACCTCCTCCCTAGGGTCCCAGGGTGGGTCACAAAATTCAACACAACTATAGAAACGCAACACTATAAACATAGTTTTAAACAACTCAACTCACAATCACAGAAGCAAGGTAGGCCCCCAAAACCACCCATCTCATGTGGCAAAAGCCAGGGTTAAGAGTTGAGGCGCTGCGCCATGCTGAGATACCTCTTCCTCAGAAACACTCAAGGTGGTTTGCATCCCACTGGTTGCAGTTTATAAAGTCGGGTGACCTTCATCTCTTGCTCCCCTCGCTGTTTGATGAGCTTTGGCAATCTACTCTTGAACTTTCTTGCCATTCTTTCCAGCTCTGTAGCTCTGCCCTGGCACCTGAGGGGCAGCTTCTTTGGGTTGCACAACATTTAAATGTTGCCATAGTGATGGGTAGTGGACGCAGCTCCTCCACACACGTCTCCCCTCCCTTCTTCAAATTAAAGAACAGATGCTGGAAAAAAGGTTGATCTTGCTGTGACCTCCTTTAAGCCAACATCAACGCACTAATTGTTCCCTATTCTTTTCTCTCCTCAGCAGCCATAGCTTTTTGTCCTTCTATCCTATCTTGGTCCATTTCAGACTAAAGAGGTGGCGAATCCTATCAACACTTCTTTTTTTGTGTGAGATGGGGCTACTTCTAAGAACACCCTCAGTCCTGTCCCCCTAAAATGCGAAACTAAATAGGGGGGGAAATCTAGATACTATGAAGGCTGCATTAGCAGCATACATTTAAAGCACTGTGATACAACTTTAAATAGCCATTATTCCCCCCCAAAGAATCATAGAACCGTAGAAGGTACACCAATGGCTATCTAGTTCTTCTGCTGCAATACAGGAGTCATAGCTAAAGAATTCCTGGAAGCTGGCCCTCCAACCTCTGTTTGAAAACCTCCAAGGAAGGAGAGTCTACCACCTTCCAAAGGAGTCCATTCTAATGCCAAACGGCTCTTGCCCTCAGAATCCCCCCACCAATGTTTAGTTGGAATCTCTGTGTGGGGAAAGTGGGGGAAAAGAGGCCTTGCAGATGGCATTGAGAACCATGCCTCAGCAGTAGACCCAAAGACTGGAGGTTCCCCATATATTTCCTAATAGGTTGTGGTGTCTAGTCAAAAGGTGCTTTTCTAGTCTGTCCAGTAGGAGAGGAGGCCAGTCAGCAAAAACTGGTTCAAATATCCACAATCACTGACCAAATTATTTTTCCTTATTCCTGAATGCGTGTTAATAAGAATAATATAATAATAATTTATTATTTATACCCCGCCCATCTGGTTGGGTTTCCCCAGCCACTCTGGGCAGCTTCCAACAAAGTATTAAAATACAGTAGTCTGTTAAACATGTTGATTTGCAGGTGAGTGTGTGCACTGGCTCCACTGGCTGTGGATTTCCATAGCCCCATATTTCAGCATGGTTTTTACCATACTTAATTTCAGTACTCCGAATGCAGAAATTCAAGCCTTTGGTACTGGGCAGCAAATAAAATAAGAATGGGCACATCAGAAAACACTGAAATGTCATCTGTAGGCAACTTCCTATTCTCCTCCCACCCTCCTTTTTTATATCCAGATTGTGGATTCCAGTTTAGGCCTCCTAAAAACATTGCAGATAATCTTTTTTTAATGTTTTTTTATCTCTAATAATTATAATAATGCAGTCATGCCTTAATGGGATTAAATCTGTTAAAACAATAGAGTGTGTGACTTAATTTATGGCATGAACAAGCTCTCACAGTGAAATGCTTTGTGCGTCGCATTCAAGTGAGGAGCGTAAGACCCAACCGCTGGGTTGGGGCTTGGTATTCCAGATAGGCCTGCAT